GCTGTTAAAACTTCTCATAGCTGAATGGTAAAGTACACCAAGCTTGGAAGTAGTTTCCCACATTAAAAAGAGAAACAGGTTTAATTCCTGTCAAGAGATACATTTTCTTTAAGACTTCCAATCTCTAAGATGGTAGAAAATACATGTCTTCTGAAACGAGTACACCCACTAAATATAACATTTATAGTAACAGGTGAATATATAAACATATCATAAACATATATACAAAGAGGTGTTAAAGATTCTTGGCATGGCCCACTTCTCAAAATCTGATTAAATTATGAAACATCAGTTTTTTCTTTATTCTTGGTCTGACCAAGAACTTTTCAATATATAAATCTATTGTTTCATATATTCACACAGTATTAAATATGTCTAGAATAATTTTTCATCTGGTTTTTAAGTCATTATTTTTTATTTCATGAAAGTACTGGTTATTTTCTTATTTTAGAAGAAATGTATAGAAAACTATTTTGAAATAATAAAGTACAAAACAGACAAACTGATAAAAGCCAGAAGACCTGTCAAATGACAGACAATATACAATTGTTTTGAATCTTTAAGAATGGTATGAATAGTTAACTTGAGAGAGAGAACTACACAATACCCATATCAATGCTTTATAGATTATAGAATCTGTGACTTACTGTTAACTCCAGAATAGTCGAGGCTTTGGGAGTTTTTTTTTCTTCTCAAAAAGACTAGAACAATAAAGAATTGAAATGCTGCTAAACAATAGCAAAAACATTAAAAACAATATTGAAATTCCAAGGAAATTTGGCTTTCAGCAAGATCCATTTAAAAATTCAGATGAAAAGAATTATAACAAAAAACAATAGTCATAACATAATCCATAATAACACTGATAATAATCCAGATATAAATGAGTAAGTGTCTATCTTGTCTGATTCACTTTGGAAACTAAGATCAGATTATGTATGTGTAGAAACATCATCAGCAGATTAGATTTGTATTTATTACAAATTAGAAGCACTGAATTAAAAAAAATTATGCCTAGGACAGAATCATCAATCTACAAGAGTAAGTTACTGCTTATATTTTTTCTTTTTTTTAATCATTTCACCCCAAGCAAGACAGGAATGCCACTAGTATGTAGAGGGTTACAGAGAGTGAAAGCAAGATAAAAAACTGGGTACAAAGGGTACTGAGGAAAGGAGAAAAGATGAACGGGGTTCAAGGTGACAGAAGATGGCAACTGACATTGCATTTAAGTTTTTGAAGATTGTAGTTATCAGTGAAGCAAGTAAATGGAAGGGAGTTCCACTGTTGGGAAGTGTGAGAAAAGAAACTGTTGGAGTAGAAATGGCGATTACATTTAACTATTTCAACAATAAAAGGTTGGGACCTAGATGCCAATGTATTAGCACATTTAAATTCATGTAGTCAGTCACCAGAGAGAAAAACTTGTCAGAGCAGTCGCCATGAAAATATTTGTAGAAAACACAGAGAGAAGCCACATCATGTCTGTGGGAAAGTGACTGAAGTTGAGATGCCAAGTCAGGATTGATTACATTGCAGATCCTTTTTTGGATTTTGTCAAGAACTTTGAGATGAATAGCAGGTGCACCAAACCAGATATAGCAAAAGTATTCAATGCATGGCCAAATAGTAGATTTGTAAATGTGCAAGATGAACTCTGATGAGAAAAACCTTCTGGCACAACACAATGAACCAACTTTCCTTGCAGTAGATGCAGCTATTGATTCAATGTAGTTGTTCCATTTTAAGTCAGTTGAAAATATGAGGCCACAAAGGTGCAGTGAGATGCTCTCCAAGAGTTGAGTATCAGCCATGCTTATGGTGGGCAGGGAATTTTCTCTATGGTGGTTAAATGAGAGCAGATTAGTTTTACAGGCATTAAAATTTACAAGCCATTTCCTGCCCCAGTTAACCACTGAGTGGAGGTCCTTTTCAAGAGCAGCAGCCAAGTTAACTTTGTCAGCTCTGATGAATTTGCTATTGAGACAGAAGTACATGGTAGTGTCATTTGCATAAATGCCTATTTGGGAACTGATGACATCAGGAAGATCATGGATGAAGATCAGAAACAGTGTAGGACCCAGGATAGATCATTGGGGGACACCTGCATTTGAGTGAAAGTATCTGGAAGTGAGCCCGTTCAGAACAACCTTCATTTCAGGATTTGGTAGGTTGGCCTTGTTATTATCAAGAGCTTGATATACATATTCAGTGATGACTGTAAGCATGTCAGTAGTAGACTGGGCAAAACAGAAGCTATATTGTTTGTCAGAGAGTAGGTCGTAAGAGTTAAGATGCTTAACCACTTCAGCATTGATTAAAGTCACAAATACTTTGCCGAAAAGCAGTAGGTGACTGATAGGGTGATAGAGGGGTCAGAAGATTCTCCAGAGTTTTTAAAAACAGGAAGTACACAGGAGGACTTTCAACAAGATGAAAAGCATATTTCCCAGTTTCTTGGTTTCTTCCCAGAGACACACTTCCATTGCATTGATCTTTGTAAGTTCTCCTAAAAATAAGCAAGTCCTGCATTTATACTCATCTCTATCTATATTGAAAAAAAAAATCATATTTTAGTTCAGATTTTTAATAAACACCTGAGAAACTAGGGTAAGTAATAAACCCCTGGGAAACTAGGGTAAGCAATAAACACCTGGGAAACTAGGGTGAGCAATAAACACCTGGGAAACTAGGGTGAGCAATAAACACCTTGGAAATTAGAGTAAGCAATAAACACCTTGGAAATTAGAGTAAGCAATAAACATCTGGGAAACTAGGATAAGCAATAAACACCTGGAAAACTAGGATAAGCAATAAACACCTGGAAAACTAGGATAAGCAATAAACACCTGTGAAACCATGATGGCAAGCTGGATAACAAACAAGCATTAAACACCTGTGTAATCAGGTCAGAATGCTGGATAGCAGAATAACCAAATAGTTGTATTGTAGGAAAAATTGAGTCCTTAAACCTGAGTGAAAACTTTTTCTAATTTTTGTAAAAAAAATAAAAAAAAAAAAAATAAAATAAACAAAGATCAACTTTCATAAGTTTTTTTTTGTTCAAATCTTTGAAAAAATATTTTTACGTTCACAAGACAATTTTTATTTAAGTAAACAATATATAAAGGGGGCCCTCTTGATATATTGTTTAATTTTGAATTCGACTTTAAATTTTAATAATTTAAAATTCTTTTACTTTTTTATTTTTTAATTCTTCACCTTTGACCTTTAGAATTTGAATTATTAACAATTCTAACATTTTATGCAACAGGAATTAAATAAACAAGTTTTAACACACAATTTCAAATCATTATCACAAGAATGTGAACTATATAATGGTCAAATTATATTTACACCTGAAGATTGCATATGAATTCCAAGTCATGCTATCAACATTGGATATGATGTATATTCACTAATATATACTTATAACTTTGTTTTACAACATTGAGCATGGTATTTATAACACCTGAGGAAGAAATGTAAGTATATGTGTGCGTATGTAGATTTTTTATCCTACCCATTTCTCTCTCTTTCTCATATATATATATATACATATATATATATATATATATATATATATATATATATATATATAACCTATTTGGCAGCTTACAGCAAAACATTTAAATAAAAATAATGAAATACAAAAATATACAAATATTACATTTCTTCAAAAATGCTGTGATTATAACTGAATCAAGCACTCTACCAAAGCTAAAAATAGACAGCCATTATGGCTTGGAGAAATTTCTGTGAAATCAAATCCCTTTAATTTTCTTGTAGATCTTGCACCTCTTCCTCCTTCTCCTCCTCTCTTATATATATATATATATATATATATATATATATAAGGGAGTCATACTGGTGTAATAGATTGTAGAGACGAATTCCAGTTGAATCCATTACATTCACTTACATGCTAATACACTTGGGAAAAGTATGAATCCTCTTCTCCCCCCAGCTATTCTTAAATAGCAGGACAGAGTGGGTTCTATAGCCTTGGATAGCAACTGGTCTAGGAGAAAGACAGCTCTGAATTCAAAACCTGTGGAGGGTCATTTAGGAACCTTGTGCCACACAGTGCACCAGGTATTTGGCTTTTCAATAAGTGTGGTTGGTTCTTCAGAAAGCTTTCACCACTATAATCAAATGGTTTCTGCAGGTAGTCTGGCTGTCAGTTTCTAGGAACTGAATTCCTTGACTCTCATATGTTGAAATCAACAAGTGAGTCCAGTATATATATATATATATATATATAAACTATGGATTATTTATTGCAGAGCAAATTAGGCTCTTGATTCTTGGGAGAGCAGCATTAGCCTCCTAGAATATGTTTTTTTTAATGGAATTAAATCATGAACGTTGGTGATATTTTTTTTAATTTACTAGATTTGCAATATAATGTGAGTTGGCCTTTTCAGTCTTCTTCTGATAAGAATTTTAGAAGGTGATAACAAAATGTTTTTTTTCATTTAACAATTCTATTAAAAAAAACACTGCCTAGAAAATTAGACTACGACAAAACATGTTTTGTTAAACTGACTGCAATAAAATTTGCTTCTTCCTGAATAATGTTCCATTTTCAATTTTCTAACCAATCAATTAGAAGCAAGATGTCTGGTAAAATATTTTTATGACAATTATTGTGCGTGCAGATATGTATATATGAGACATTGCTGAAAAATTCTTGGTCTAACCTAGTTCACAAAATCTGACTGAATGATCAGTTTTTTTTTTTTAAATGCATTTTGGGTCAATAAGAACTTTTTCGCACTCTTTCTCTCTCTCTCTCCCTCCCTCTCTCATGCAGTGTGTGTGTATGTGTGTGTGTGAGAGAGAGAGCAAGCTGGTTACCTCTAATTTGTTTCCAAAAGTTATGGCATGATTTGCTTTAATAGTTTTATCATTATTAGTAGTAGTAATAGTAATATTATCAATTGAATAAGAGCATTTATTAGATAGCATTAAAATAATTCTGTCTTCATAGATTTGTTTTAAGCTAATTTGATTGTTGAATTTTTGTTTAAAAACAAAGAAATAAAAAATAAGTGAATGATAAGAGAGAAGGAAGAAAGTTCAGAGTTGAGGTACTTCGAGAGAAATTGGTAGTTAAAATAAAGATGGAATGATTGAATAAAAGGGAGGGTGAATATGAATAACCCTGTAGAAAATAGGGAATTATGTTGATAAGAGAAAAAAAGAGAGATGGTTGAGAGAAAAAGTAATAGAAACAAGTAGAGAGAAGAAAGAAGTGTGAACAAAGTGAGATATAAAATAGTAGAGTATACAGAAAAAGATATAGACTGAAACATAAATAGAAAGAGAAGGAAATAGAACAAGACAAGAAAACCAACTGAGGCAGAAGAAGAATGGCTTACAAAGGTAGATATGAAGAGAGAGATGGTAAGAAACTAGAGTGAGAGAGAGAGAAAGGGATTGGAATTTAATAAGAGAGATAAGAGAGAATGTTATAAAAATTGGGCAACAGAGGAAGGAAGAGAGTATATAAAAGACAAACTGGAATGGGAAAGATGCAGAAAAATAACTGAGTCAGAATAGGAAATATTTATTAGAAACTGAATAAGATAGAATTGAAGCTGGTTAGAAAGAGGACTGAAATGCAGAAAGACAGGAGAACTGAGGTGCAGAGAAAAAGAGGACTGAGATTCAAAAAGACAGAAAGAAATAGAGAAGCAAGCAGAATATAACTGAGAGATAGAGAGAGTAAAAGTCAAAATGGGCATAACAGATGATGAAGTGAGGAAAAAGAAACAAGTCTATATACAAAAGGAGACAGAAGAGTATACAGTGACTGAAGAAAGAGGTGTATTGAGAGAGATCAAGTTACTTTACAGAAAGAGAGAGGTATAAGAAGATACAAACAGAATAAGATGGATATAAAAAAAGAAAGAGAACAGTAGGAAATTAAAAGAGAGAATATATTGGAAAGAAAGACAGTAATGATATGAAGGGTAACTGGAAGAGAAAGACAGTGAAATAGAAGGAGATAAACAAAGATGCATAAGTAATGAGAGAGAAAGATATGAAGAGATGTTAGTAATGGAAGTGAGAAAGATAGAGGATAGAAAAGGGAAGAAGGATGCATTAAAGTGAGAGTGAGAGAGAGGCATCCATAAAGAAGTTTTCTGGTCATTCATCAAGAACGTTTTATCAGCTCAGAGCTTTTTCAATATTTGACATCAATAATTGAGAAACTCTCCCAAGGGAACTGATCAATTTCTTAACTCCATCTTCTTTGATTTCTTGCTTCCTGGGTAATAGCATTATCAGTCAAGTGGTCAATACTTGAATTAGCCCAGAGCATAAAAATAATGGAACTTAAAAAAAAATTGTTTTATAATCTTTTGTTTTTTTTATAACTTAAAAAATTCATATTAAGTAATTTTAATGTCCATTGTTGCAAAATGTTAAACTTACAAAAATTATACTTTGATTTAGAATGAAAAAATATAAAACAGTATTTAAAAAATTTAGAAAATCAATCTAAAATTTTAATCTACAGTCAAAAATGCTTCTTGTGAAAAGAAAAGTCTGATAATTACAATAAAAATTTGGACATATATACCAACCACAGGTTAATGTTGTAAAAGAATTTTGCCCATCATTTGCCCATTCTAAGAGAATTTTTTTCCATAACATTTTTCAATAATGCCTGCATTATGTTGAAATTGTATTTTCAATAGTCTTTAAAGAAAAATTATGTAGTTATAATTTGTAAAGGTTTAATAAAGGTATAATAGTATAAGTGCTACCAGCTGAATTAACTTCAAAGAAGAAGTGACATGGAGTTGTATTCATTTCTTGAAGGCAATAATCATGAAGTTTTTCATCCATATTGATTTTGATAAACATTATTCACATTTCTTGTTTTGCATAATTGGTTTAATAATATGTACCAGGATAAAAATCATATATATGTAACTCTGTTGAGCTTTTTCACTAAAAACATACCAAGTTATATATATATATATATTTGGTTGGATTGATGTGAGTTTGTGACCCTGGGTTTCACGCTTTTGCGATCGCCAGACAAACTCTATCTCTGATATTGAGTGCTTTCTAATAAGTACCGTGCATATAATATATAAATAATTATATATATATATATATATATATATATATATATATATATATATATATATATATATACACACACACACACATATATAAAAGAGGGTGCGATGGATAAATTGTCATCTAAATTAAGCAAAACTGAAAATAACACTGACATCTCATTTTAACAGATATCCTAAAGAGTAAATTTATTCAATAAAAAAAAAAAAAAAAAAAAAATCGCCATTAGCTTCAACCACACCCTCCAGACAACTCCATAATCTCCTACAACTCTTATGGACAGTCTCCTTGTTGAAGTTGATGAATGCTGCCATAATCCTTGCCTTCAGTTCATCTTTGGTCTCTCACTCAACTGTGCTTCAATAATCAAGAGGGTGGCAGTCTGGTGAGTTAAGTGGCTAGATGTCTACTGCTCTGGATACTTAGCCATGGAGCAAGACAAGTTGGTCACCCAGCAACTACCTACTTTGACAACCAGCTATCTTATGATACAGGATGCCACCCTAATGACCTTGATAGCATGATAGACTCATGAATGTCAGAGCTAGCTTGACTGAATAAAAAATAAATAGAAGCTACCTAAAATTTGAAGAACATATGAAAAACTAATTTAGTTATGATTTTTGTGAGAAGCTTTTGTGAGGTCATTGTATACAGGCTTCAAAGGAGATGGTGGAAACTGGGTGTTATTTTTCCATGGTCCGATACAATGTACCACCAAAAAGTTCAGGGTATGTTTATGTATATGTGAGAATGAATTTGTGTTATTAATTTGTATATTGGATTTTGCTCTGAAAGATTTTAATTTTTAAGTTTTGACCAAAAATGCACTCATTATCTGCCTTTCTAACTGAAAAACAAAATGATTACAAATCTTGAAGGCCCTTTATAAAAAAGAAATTTGTCACAAAGTAAAATGCCTTTATATTGTAAAGTCATATTTACCATTTGGAAATGTTTTCCTACCCACAACACAAGAAAGCACATTCATTTTAAATTTTAAACTGACAATACAAACACCATAGTGGATATTTGTGGATTTTCAATCTTCTTTCCTTACCTTGGGTGAATGGTCAAAGGATATCAACATTTAATTTCTGCAAGTTCTTTTCCATGGAATATAAATAATTCTTAATTTGGAACCAGGAAAAATTTATCCAAAAGGCTCAATAGACATTATTTATTCTATTCAATTGACCATATTTTAAGATTGATGCATAACTATATTACGTTCAATATATATAATAGCTTCCATAAAAAGTTTATAAATGCTAATATGTGGATTATCAACTAACACTTTGACAAATTCATAGATATTTTGATACTGTCAACCAGTTACTTAACACTGTTGTAAACAAATGTTCAATCCATAACCGTACTGTGTACTACAACATAACATACCTAAAATAATTTCTACTTTTTTACAATTTTAGATAAACCTCAAATCACAAACAAACAATATATTATCTTCACTTAATAATATCTTTCTATTTTTGGTGTATTTATAAAACTAGAAGGTAGATGGTGATGTACATAGAATTCTGTTATCCAAATAAAACTTTATGTATTTCCTGTTGTTATTGTTTTAGATAATTTGTCAGGTTTATTTCATGAGAAAAAAATAAAAGGAAACTTTAAAAATAAAAAATAAAAGTAGTAATTGAAATGTGGTGATTAATATACCAACCACAAAATCCATTTTGTATATCAGTAACAATTCTTTCGCTTTTCCAAACATTTTTTTTTCTTGAAGAAAGAAATATTTTTTCTCGCAGAATAGAACTGATGAAGGCTGAAAATGGATCAGCCAAAATGTGTTAACAACAAAGAAATTTCTGTTTGAATTATAATTATTTACACTTATACATAACATCAAAATGAAATAGCTTAAATTTCTAGAGCACATAATGAGGAAGGAGGGCTTGGAAAATTTGACACTCACAGGATATACTGAAGACAAGAGGGACAGAGAAAAACAATGCATAACCTACCTAATAAGTCTGTGCAAATGATACTAGAACAGGGTTTAGGGGAAATAGCAAAAAGACAAAATTTACTAAAAAAGTAATTTCCAAAATTTAATACAAAAGACAGGAAATTGTGGAGAGCCATGAAGGGACATGGCATATAGAAGACAATGATGTTTGGACTAATGTCCTCATCAATGTACCCTCTAATTTTCTTCAGGTGTTTGTGAATCTGGATAATCTTCAGGGAATTTCAAACTAAACCCTTTATTTAATCTATGTGGTAAAATTGTTCTCATTTCCTCTCCCCATTTAGGGATATCTCATTTTGTTCTTATTTAATCCTGTTTAGTTATTGCTTACTCTGTTTTCACTAAATCTTAGTCTGTATATTTTTAGTCTGGACCCAGGAATTGAACTCATAATTACTATGCCACTAAATTCACAAACCAATGCTTTATTCCACTAAGCAATTTTACCATGTGACAGTCCTACATTTAGAACTTGGAATCTTAAACCTAATGTTTTTACTGTCTGCTGTCAAGCTTGAACTCTTGTCACCATTTCTCTTTTCTTACTGAAGCTGAAACCTTGCTGTGAAGCTTTGCTCTCTCTGCCATCATTTCTCTTTTTTTTCCTTCTTTGGCCATTAATATGTCTACTGGATCAATCCATTTTGTATATTAATGACCATTTCTTCATTTTTTTCCATGAAGAAAGATGTTTTCTTTTCTCTTAAATCACAAAACACATTTGACAAAATTTGCAGAATGAATCAGCAGAAATTTGTTAACAATGAAGAAGTTTCTATCTGAACAATATAAAAAAAGCTGGAAATATGATTTCTCAAAATTATAAACAATGGATGATGAAGGTCTGAAATCTTTATATACAAATTTTGGATTTTTGTTTTCCTTAAGGAATCAAAAAAGAACAGTAAGTTTGAAAAGCAAAAAAAAAAAAAAAAGATATAAGCAAAATATGGAAACAAAAATATGAGTTGATTTAATAAACATTTACAGAAGGAAACCCATTAAAAAAACTTTATACACAGATCTTGATGAGCAACTATGTGGAAGAATCAGCAGAATTGGTGGAACCAAATGCATTCTTTGTGCATCAAAAACACAAAGGACATAGATGACAGTTCCACTCTGGACTTAAGTTGAAATCTTCTCAAAATAGGATTAAATGACATAAGGGCAAAGATGTCTGAAGTTTTGCTTTGAGGGACATTGCAATATCTGCAGTTGACTGAATTAGAAATTTCTGCAAGAGAATAAATGAGATAATAAGAAAAGTTTAGCTTGAATGCATAATCATATACCTCAACAGAAGTCTCTTCACTTTGGTGCAGCAGACTATTATGATGAGTGAATTTAACAGTCTTGTATCCAATGAAACAAAGTTTCTTATTATGAAGACCAGAATAGAAGGGCAAGTGGGAAAAAAGGGTAGGAGGAGATAGGATTGAGGAAAAAAAATTGTAGGTTAGGAAAAGTCCATAATAGAAGCTGAGTTTATAAAAAAGGGTAAGTTAAAAAAAAAAAAAAAATAAATAAAAAATGAAAATGTAGGTTGAAATAAAAAAAATAACTTGGTAAAAAAATTAAGTAGGTTTTATTTTTTTTTTTGCGGGTGGGAGTGGGGGGATGGTGAGAAATTAAAGGATAAGTTGGAATAAAGTCCAGAATAGAAAGGTTGGAACAAAAGGGTAGGTTGGGGGAAAAAAAAAAAAAAAAAGCTGGAAAATTTATTCAAAACTAATTTGTTTTCAGAACAGAAAAATGAGTTTGAAAGACGGATTGAAAAAAAAAAAAAAAAAGGAAAATAAAATAAACAGTGGGGGGGGGGTGAACTGGAATAACAGTGAGTAGGCCAGGAAGAAAAAAGAAAATCAAAGTTTAAATAGCTGGCAAGGATCGTCTGTTTTGGATGTGAGAGTAAATAATTGTATAGCTCAAGAGAGTTGATATTTGTCTAGTCTGGCATAAGGATTTGATGGTAGATCCTCAAACTGAGGTCAAATTTGCTGGTAAATTATCACTTAGTGTTTCCTCACTTATTCTGACAAAGCCATAACAGAGAAGAATCCAGTCAGGGTCAAACTAAC